TATAGTTAACTGGGTTTTTTTATTTTTTACTCTTTCTGTCTCATCGTACATTATACACTATCGAAGGCAACAAAAAAACAAATAATGAAATAAACGAACAGTCAAATAACTAGACGTGCTCACGTCATTTTATACTCTTGTTGCATTGCTGCTGTTTACGTACTACACTAATTGGCATCGTTGCAATTTTACTATTTAATGAAGTACTATACACTACAAAACTATCACCAGGGGGGCTTATTGCTTACAATAACACTGGACATAGAGCGACGCTACAGGCACACTGCCTCTATTAATTATTGCATACATACATACACACTGTACTACATAGCAGCTTTATGGATGACCTAAGTCGTTCGTTGCCTGTCATCGTGGTTTAGCAGTAGAATAATGTACAGAGGAAAACAGTGCCACATGAGCAATGTACGAATTACATACACAATTATTACTTATCGTGTACGCGTTCATGCATAGAACTGTAGATGCATTCCTATCTCAGAGATGAGCACTACAAATGCAACATAATGTATCGTGAAAGACTACAGCGCGTAAAACGTATCACCATGATCAGGATACCGCGGCTCCCCCAATCACGATTCACGTGTCGTACGTCACAGACTGGACTTAAGCAGCCGACGAGGGTAAATAATAATACCTTACGTGATACGAATTTCTATTGTTCTACGACACGCGCACAACCTGTGACAAAGCACTGCCACAGCTACAGTGGATTCTAAAAACTTGTCGGGTGTGGCCATATTAGTGGTGAAAGTGAGAAAGATGAATATGGAAACGGAACATAGAGATGGCTGGGTCAGAGTGAAGCGGGTATTTAGGTGGGTGGGAACGAAGTGTCGAGGCAAGGATGTTGGATGGAATCTGGCAGATGGAATCAAATTGACAAGGTGCTAAGGTAATACACAAGTGGGTTGCGATATGGTGGAAGATGGGTGGAATATAGCGATGGGATTTGGGATATGACAGGAGCGATGTTAGGACAATAGCTCATTTCCGAGATGAGTACTCTATTTGATGATATATAAATATATTTACGTCACATGCCATATAATCGTTATTGCTCACGACGTTTCACCTTCCAGCCTTGAACACTGCATGCGCATTTTGTATATAGCAAGAACACGCATTGCACATCTTACACCAATACATAATATCAACTCTGTGTATGCCTGATGCGGGCACGTGTATAACTAAGGAAGCCACCATTTAATTCTCTTCGGTATGTGTGTAATAACATCGACAAGCCACACAGGGATGCGTGGCGGCGGGAATATAGCTCTGTGGAAATACATGGCGGCCGTCTGTTCCACGGTAGGAATACATCACGGTGGGATAACAGTCCCGTGAGAATACATCAGCCGTCATGCACAACACTAGTTCACACACATTCTGCTGTTACCTAAGTGTTATGCCATGATTCGCCAGCTTATCATGTACAAACGAAAAATTATTTGCTATTCGCGAGAGATCCTGTATGTATATATATATACAAAAGGACCATACCATGATAGCGTATAATTATGTTATAGAATCATGAATTTCTAAGCAGAATCGGCAACTACGCAGGTTTGCGGTTTGCGGCTACCAGGGGTCGCTAGGATCGCTGCTCTGTTGGAACTGCTGCGCTTGTGGATGGTGCGGTGATGTCTTAGCTGGGATGTTCCCGGCAATGCGTATCGTCTGCTTGTTCTCGTTCGGCCCGGGATTACCTAAGAAAGAAAATCAAGACATTTAATGGAGTAACTAATCAACGTGCATCTACAGAGTTGTGTGATGCTAGTGCTAAATATATGGAGCTTGCAGACATATATGAAAATATGGGTGCTAGGCTTAGTTAGTACATATGTCAACATGTGGGTGGTTTTCACATCCGTGCTTTTAACCTATCGCTATCCAAATGCTTTGGAAATTCCACCGCGTACGCTCCAACAAAATCTCTGCGTGGTTTACCATCTATTTAGGGAGATCAATGTGTATCATGGTAGCAGGAAATGAAAATATTGTTAAACCATATCACGCAGATCAGCGTGTGTAAATTCATGTAAGCGTCTTTATTTTAAGCTTTACGAATGTTTCAAATCCTATGTAATGCTTTGCATGTTTACATCACACACATTTTCCCCGTACACGCACGCACGCACGCACGTACGCACGCACGCACGCACGCACACACGCACGCACGCACACAGACACACACACACACACACACACACACACACACACACACACACACACACACACACTCTCTCTCTCTCTCTCTCTCTCTCTCTCTCTCTCTCTCTCTCTTTCTCTATCTCTATTATCTCTTTCTCTCTGCCTCTCTCTCTCTCTCGCTCTCTCTTTCTCGTACACACACTTTTACTCTCTATCTCCTTTCTCTCACGCTATCTCTATCTTCCCATTTCACCTGCCCTATACTGATTGATGTATTGAAATTGTACTCCTTCTAGTTGCGCCTTGACTCTCACCTCTGTTTCCTCGCTGAGGTGAAAGGTTGCCGTTCTTAACAGCGGGTGCCAGCGCCGGAGTAAGGTAATCGCCCATGTCACCGTCCACGGCGCCGTAGCTCTGGTACGTGCTCTCCGCCTCGGCGAGCTTCGAACTGGATAGGTTGCGGGACATTGGATTCATCGGCACACCGCAAGGTGCCAGCACCGTCGCCTCCTCCAGGATTTCATGACCGCCCTTGCCGCCATGCGACATGTGACCACGGTCTTTCACGAAGAAGAATAGCGCAGCGAAAGCGACCAGCACGATGAGGCTGGCGAAGCCGTAGCCGCGAAACGTGATCTGTGTGCCTGCAAGCATACCAATACTACATCGTAACACTTCGTGCCGTACGCTGTTAGTTTGCATGCAGCCTCAAGCGGAACTACTCGTTCATAGCGTCACACGGGGATAAACATAAAATATATATACAGTATTCAATTAGCAAACTGTCTGCGCTCTCAGAATATATCATCTAACGAACATTTACGAACAATGCAAAAATTTGCATGTCTGAGACATATACAGGTTTGCTTATGTGATATGGAAACACAAAACAGGGTAATTACTGATATTTCTCCTAATATAAAATAAGTCATATGTAGAATTTGTACTTCTGTGAGTTACAACGACGTGTCTTCACACGAAACAAGTAAGAAAGTAAACTACACTTTTTTACGAATTCTATTCGCTTACGAATACCTACTGTGTTTTTGAAACTGAAACGCAGAATTAACAATTTATAACACGAATGCCTCGATGTGAATAAACAGGACACGCATTCCTGTCCCGTCAAAGAGGGTATTGGGGATGCTTCCACTTCAAACAGATTTTTGACGTGGAACTGTTGTTGTTAACGTTTTCTATATTAAAAATGTAGGATTAACTATCCACATTTACTTCCTTTTATTCTACACAACTAACGTTTCTACATAGTTTCACAGGTAATTAAAAGCACCAGGAAGCGAGCAGATTTTGGGGAGGATTCTAAACTTTATCAATTCATTCTTAGCAATCATTTCCAGCCTGCATCTTCAGTTTACTTGCATTTTTTCGCACTCCACTTCTAACTTCCTCTTCACTCACACATGCGCTTCTCCCCATTTTCTCCGAATCGTTTTAACGTCATTCGTGCTATGCTAACTCCAGCTCTCCCTCGTTCCCTCGTCTTTCGCCTCCAATCCTCCCCTCTTTCTGGATTTAAATATAGTCATTTTGCAGGGAGACAAATGCCCCTAACACTTGATGCACAGTCTTGTAGCAAATTCCTATATTTAATAAACGGCTTGACGACGCATGGTGGCACGGTAAAATCATTTCTCTTTTGCACAAACAATCTATGTTTGTGTGTTTCAATTGTGCAAACACAATCTCCATTCTCATCAATAAGGGTGCACGGTGATAGCTCTGAATCGATCCACTGCACTCGCCATGGCCAAACACAGCTTCGTCGCATCGAAGCCTAAACCGGTCAGCATCATTGATTGGTGTGGATTTCAGCAGAACATATCAGCAAGCGAGTGTGATCTCGTGTTTCTCTCTACGATACCCCCGTGGTATTTAACTTGTTCACCATAAATCATACACACCATGAAGACTAGTGGTAGGCAGAAATGAATTTCATTGACAAACTCCCCATTTTATTAAGGTTGATCAACTCTAGCTAGCTTGTTCAATGCTGCTATTCTTACATATCGTTAGTTACGTACTGCATGGTCACAAAATGTCGGATTTCTAAGAGTTGGCAGTAAACGGTCATCGACCGCCTCCGCTAAGGGACTATTATTCGTTTTCCTGCTGTAAAATCTAATGAGGAATTAATCAAGTTAGACTGGGTTTGCGCTCTCATATATGCAACACATCGCAACAGCTCAATTCCTATCAGGGCTATACGTGAATTAAAAAAATGGTGGTCGAAGTAAAAGTCAGTGTACTAAAACAAGTAGAATTTTAACTGTTTCTACTCATGCGTTCATACTGAACTTTCTTTGCGAGATAAACGTCAAGGGCCTGCGCCGTTGTAATCCAGCTAAAAGGTATACAAATATGTATGTTGCTGCAATGTGTGGCGTCTCAGCTAGTGCAAACGTCCGCAGCAATCCATTAATTGAGTTTGCCGCGCACACACTCGCCGCTTTTCTACAGCTGGCTCGACTGATGCAATCATGGATTGAAGTAGGCTTCACGAAACGCGTTATTGACAAGCCACCAGACTGACTGCCTAAGCATGCCTGCTTGCACCGGCGCCGCGGATGCCCGCGATTCTCCTGTAGTCATCGAAGTTTTGCCGACTTCGTTTGATCGCTGAAGCTGCCCCGCGTGTATACGAGTTAGTAGTTACTCGGTTGTATATAATAATATTAATGAAACCGCACTGAGCGTATGCTACAGGCGCTAAAGCCACATGGGAAATAGAAAGGGTAATGACACACCGAGCTATACGCATTTACGACCTGGATATGCTGCCGTTTGGCTTGAGACACGAGAAGTAGATCTCGCGCGTATAACGTGACGTTAAAAAACACGAGATCAAAACGGATATATGTACTCCGCAACAGCCAGTGTAAGAGCAAGAGTACGTAACAGGCACGTTCCGATGTCGCTATAACACCCACTAGTCCTACTAGTCGAAGTCTCTCTACTAGTCTCGTATCTACTACAAGACTATTGTCGACAAAATAGGTTGTAAATAAAGTACTCACCGAATCGAGTTGCCAGCATGCCGCCTATGATCGCACCGCAGGCTCTACCGAGAGCATGATGCAGCCCTTGAAGGATACCCTGCGCCGAAGGACGATGGTTGGGTGGCACAGCCTGCGTGATGTAGGAACAGATGGCTCCCCACACACAGGCGTGCGTTATACCTGTAACGGAAAGAACGCCACGTCATATAACGTATATCGCGTCATGTTCCACACGTTTCCCGTCACACGCTCTGAGACTGCATTAGTCCAGACTGACACTAGTCTCTGCACGCGCACACACACGCTCACACATATACACACAGCCACACTCACATTCACACACACACACACACACACACACACACACACACACACACACACACACACACACACACACACACACACACACACAACATATATACACACACACATATATACACACCACACACGCCTCACACATATACACACAGCCACAGCCACGCTCACATTTCACACACACACACACACACACACACACACACACACACACACATATATACACACACACACACACACACACACACACATATATATATACACACACACACGCTCACACATATACACACAGCCACAGCCACACTCCCATTCACACACACACGCACACACACACACACACACACACACACACACACACACACACACACACACACACACACACACACACACACACACACAAGAATCGGTTGATATGACGGAGACATGAATTTGGTCGATACAGTATGTGCTTATTTATTATTTATTATACTGGCCACATAAAAAAACGCCAGCTACCCGAATGTTACAATTCTGCGCAATGTGTCAAACGAGAAGCAGGTGCTTTGCGCGTATATGTATAAACCAGTTTTAGTTTCAGTTATAATATGGACAAATTTGTCCTAAAATACAATTTCGCTAAAATACAATTCAAATATATTTTTTCGCTTAAATAGTAGCTAGGTGTAAGTATAATTGTACTTTTGTGATTAGTCCTTGGGCTGTAACGTGCAAAATAAATCGGCAGAAAGGCAAGTTTTTCAGGGTGGCAGCACAATCGCGCAGTGCCATGTCAGCGGTCAAAAATTAAGATTCCGAAACTCACTGTTGTTTAATGACAAATTTGAATGCGTGATTATAGAAATTTATAGATATATATTATTATTTATGCACTCACTATCATAATATACTAGAGTATACATAAAATTCTAGAGTCTCAGGGAATTGTTTTAGTAGTAAAATTATAGGTTTGTTGCGTAATTAACAAGTAAATGAATAATACACACATTAACTAAACGTAATTATATACGTTATGCGGCTGGACGCTCGGTCATGCAGGGAGGTTTACATAATCTATTTGCCGAGGAATACAAATAATATCATCATACGACAGCGCCAACCTGAGTAGCCATCAAGTTTACTTGCAAGTTTAGATGCTACATAGCTGCAAATAGTGTTGCGGCGGTTAATTACGCCTCGAATAACGTTTGTTTTAACGCATGTGATGACGGAAAATAGATTAACATGAATAATCCATTCGTGGATTATCTACAAGCAAGTTGAAAAAATCGGGTATAATAGGCTTACAGCGAGATGAAGTCATTTCAACAGATAAAAAAAAATATTTTGATGTTTCAAACGTAAGAAAATAACAGTTGAGTATTTTATACTACAAGTCATTACCTAGCACTTGTTCGCGAGCTAGATAGAGCTGAATTTTCCCCTGCGAAACGATATAGCCGGTTGTCATGGAAACTTAGGCCAAGCAGCGACAAATACGATAAAGCTTTTCGCTGTAAAAGAAAATCTATTTACTTGCAAATCTGAAGGCTTCCCAAATTACGTGAGAGAGAGAGAGAACGCGCGCGAGATAGACAGACAGACAGACAGCGAAAAAGAGAGAGTGAGAGAGGAGTGCGGGAGAGAAAGAGAGAGAGAGAGAGAGAGAGAGAGAGAGTGAGAGAGAGAGGGAGAGAGAGAGAGAGAGCGCGCGTCAGAGAGAACAAGAGAGCCCTAAAGAGCGGAGAGAGTGAGAGAGAGAGGGAGAGAGAGAGAGAGAGCGCGCGTCAGAGAGAACAAGAGAGCCCTAAAGAGCGGAGAGAGTGAGAGAGAGAGGGAGAGAGAGAGAGAGAGCGCGCGTCAGAGAGAACAAGAGAGCCCTAAAGAGCGGAGAGAGTGAGAGAGAGAGGGAGAGAGAGAGAGAGAGCGCGCGTCAGAGAGAACAAGAGAGCCCTAAAGAGCGGAG